TGTCCTCATGGCTATACACCTCAGGGTACATAGTGCCATCTAGGGCTTCTTGTCTGGGGAGATGACGTACAGAACATTGTTGTAAATCCACGCTAGCACTACTGAAAGACAGAGGGCTGTGGGGGACTCTGGTCACAGCAGCTGGCACCCTGAAGTGGCTCGTGGTTTCCCAACCAACCAAGCCACATCCCTATCTCATAGGTCAAGCACAGGGACACACCTGGTGAAAATGAGAATGCTCCAAAATTCATAATGATGAAAAGAGATGGGTTTGCTCGCACCGGACACAATTAGCCTGAACAATTCATCACCACAATAAAACCACTTTTAAAAAGGACTCTCCTTCCAAACCCTATCCTTCCAGAAGCATCCCGAACCCACGAGGAAATAACTGAGCTTTGCTCTTTCTGAAGTTTTTCACTCGTAAAGCACTTCACCAAGGCAGAGCTCAACCATTCTCGCAGACGATGAGAAGCGACGTGATGGGCGTGCGTACACACGCCTCGGGTGCAGGGCCCTCCCTGGTGGACCACAGCGACGAGGGAGCTCACCGCCATTCAGCAGGCGGTGCCGGGGGTTTGGCAGGGTGTTTGTGCAAGGAGCACCACCTGCCCTGCGGTTCAGGTTCGTCGCCCGCTGAAAAAATACGCTGTCCCAGCTGCAGGGCCTTATCGGGTAACAAAACCAGAAGTGCTGGGGCATCACTTGTTTCAAAAGAAAAATAAATCTCACCATTTTAATGGTACTAATTTTGCATGTGAAACTTGCATTCATACTGTATTAACAGTTTAAATATAGCTTTCTTGCCAGATGCCTGAATATGCTAGAAAAGATACTTAAAATATGCAAATGGGTTTCTGTTTTAATACACAAAGAAACTTAAAATCACATCACTTTCCATCATCAAGACAGGTTTCAATCTAAGCTTTTTTCATGTGAAAACTATAACAGCAAACAAATGGTTAACCAAATGTGTTTAACCCACTATCTGCAGTCTCACTTTTAGTCAACTGTGACATGGGCCATTACACTTCCCAGGACACCAGTGACTTAAATGAAGACTACACATTTTGCTTAACATTGACAGATTATATATATTTATATATAAATTACAGTAAGAAAAAAAGCTTCTCAGACTAGAGAGGGCACTTGGTTCAGCATCCACAGGATTGGAGGGCAGGATTCCTGAATTTTATCCTCAGCAATATGCTTAACCAGTCTGATCCTGCACCCTGCTGTTTTAAATGGTCTTCATAATGCTTGGCTGTCTCAAGAGACTTTGAGAGCCTCAATGAACTCATGATTACAAAATGCTTTGAGATCCTTGAATGAAAGATGCTGAATGAGTACAAATTATAACTATTATTAATTATCTTTGGTTGCCAAGTTGTGCCTCCTTCCACTCAATGTGTCTACGTTTTGTCTTGTAAGATTATAATGTCTTCAAAAGAAACACTGCTCTCCCAACATGCCCCTCAGCTGCCCAGGAGGTGTCTTGTTATATAAATAAAAGCTGTAAGAATAATATTAGCTAAAACAATAGTGTGGCAAAAGCAAATTATATTCCTGCAGCACTCCGAAATGTCTTCTTTTTCTCAGGACAGGAAGATTTCTCTGTTTTACTGTTCTGATCCCAATGTTCTGATCCCCAAATCATCTCTTCTCTTTCCCTCATGTGCAGTTGCAAGATCTTTGCTGTTTTTCTTTTAGGTTTGCACAGCCCGCATCTCTTGAAGTGGTTACTGCATGGCCCCAAGCCCTTTTAACAACACGAGTTCCTCTGGAAAGCGGATGGGGAGCTCCGAAGACGTCAGACAGCGTAAGCACTGAGTACGAGTCTTCATTTGACTTTCAGCCTCACAGGTGACCGAGTCAAGGGAGAGAAGGCAGAAATTTAACAGACTGTCCAGACAGCTGGATTCTGCCCAAGCCCTATAACTGCCTGGCTCCTCAGCCAAGCCACACTTCGAAGGTGACAAAATACATCCAAATGGATGGATACCTTTTCTAGTGATGCAAGAGAAAAGAGAATTTGCAAATAGTAATGAGAAGATAGATTGCTATTTGTCAAAGTCAAAGGACAGCTCATTTGCTTGCACCTCAGGACGTTGCGGTGAAAGATCATGGAGAAGAGTATTAAAAGGGCAGTGCTACAGCTCAAGACAATATGTAAAGCAGTAAAGATCAGAATTCATTCCCTAATTTCTGCCTCAATTAGAGTGTCTCTATATTTTATCCCATCTACGTGGATGGTTGGATGGTTTTGTTGCTGAATTGCTTTATACTGAAGCTTTATTGCATTTAGAACAATTAATTCTCCTCATGAAGAGCCCTCTCCAGGTACCTCTAAGTTGCCTGAATCCCAGCTCAGCCATCTAACATCCCATCAAGTGCCATTTGCAATGACCATCTGCAATTTAATTCAAGCAGAACAATCTCCCTGGACGTGAGTGGTAACTCGCAACAGCTCCCATACACCACTTCTACCAGCAAGCCCTGGCCTCTCCGCATCTCCAGCCCCAGCTATGACAGTGGCCTCTTAACAAAATTACCTGACTGCAGTTGATCGTAATGACCAGTCATTAAAAACTTTTCAAAGATCTCTTTCTCTTTTAGTGAAACAGGGGTGTCCATCAGAAGTGGACAGTTTGCTTGCAGATGAAATGCTTTCTGCCTACGTTACGGCCCAGGAAAGTGTTCAGCAGCAAGCTCGTGGTGCAGCCCGCATCCACGAGGCATTAGATGTACTTGCAGATGCTTCTCTGATCACAGAATCACAGAATCTCTAGGTTGGAAGAGACCTCAAGATCATCGAGTCCAACCTCTAACCTAACACTAACAGTCCCCACTAAACCATATCCCTAAGCTCTACATCTAAACGTCTTTTGAAGACTTCCAGGGATGGTGACTCCACCACCTCCCTGGGCAGCCCGTTCCAGTGCCTCACAACCCTTTCAGTAAAGAAATTCTTCCTAACATCTAACCTAAAACTCCCCTGGCGTAACTTTAGCCCATTCCCCCTCGTCCTGTCACCAGGCACATGGGAGAACAGGCCAACCCCCACCTCGCTACAGACTCCTTTAATGTACTTATACAGAGCAATAAGGTCACCCCTGAGCCTCCTCTTCTCTAGGCTGAACAAGCCCAGCTCCTTCAGCCGCTCCTCAGAGCCTTATCAGGCAGAGGATACGACACATTAGCACTAAGGGAAAAGGTGGTGAGGCTAAACAGTCCCATCAGGGGCAGAGGGAACGATGCACAAGAAAGGAAGCAGGAGAGAGTGAAAGGCTGCAGTCCCCAGTGAGTTTCATCTCAATAGCCTGAGCACTGCTGCTCTAGAAGGGACTTGTATATGTTTTACTATCAATTACCCCAGGATAATCAGAAATAATATTTTCAGAACAAAGCGGTGCCAAATTCTATACTGCACTTGGGGAAAAGGCCAGGGCAAATGCCTGTCATCTAGATGATCATTTATTTCATCCAATGTACTTATGAAAATGATCTCTCATTTGGCTCACAGCAGTAGAAATTTCTCAACAAAGTCATAATTCTCCTGTAATACAGTCCAGGGCAGTTAAGTATTAGTCAGATAAAAGCTTCAAGCCTGCCTTGAAACACTGCCCCTGCTTAGGAATTTCCCACAAGCAGTGGGAGGTGGGAGCCGAGCAAAGGGCAGCAAGAGACGAGGGATGATTTTCCCTTGGAAGGAACCACGGGCAGAGGACCCAGCACATCCCACCTGGTGGTCAAATTGTGCCAGGGAGGCAAAGAAGCAGGGTTTATAGGCTACAGAAAAATGCTGCAGGAAGCTTCACAGTGGGTATTAAATATTCGAGGCGTCTTTGCAATGTACAGGCACAGGGGTGAAGATCTGAGCTGCCTGTGCTGTTGCGGTGATCCTGCTTGCAGAGAGAGAAGGAGACGGCCCATGGAGAAGAGCTGCAGGAGCAGTGAGGTCAAAGTCAGAGCTAGAATGAGGGCACTGGAAACATGGGGAAAGAGCAAAACAACCTTTTCCAACACAAAAATAACAATTAAAAAAGGAAGAACTACAAAGGGAAGAGAGAAGTGTTGGCAAAAAGAGGAAGGGCACTCTGAAGGCAGTGTGCAGTAGGTGATTTGAGACAGACCCCAGCGTTGGAGGAGAGGATGTGACAAGGCAGAGAGGAAAGAGAATAAAGTGCAACATGGCTAGGAGCTTCCAGAGCTGGCAAGAGCCCATGGAGAGCCAGCTGTGTGCACCCTGTGCATGAAGGAGAGTGGCTCAGGGAGGATCGATGTGCAATGGAGCAGTACGAAACAGAAGGATGCATCCTACTACCTGCATCCTCAGAACAGGGAGCAGGCAGGAAAGCAAGAGCAAATGTGAGGCATCAGCATCTGCTAATTTTACTGAGTCAGCTCCCCCATACAAGAACTACCCAATGCTAACCAAAAAACGACCGGTTTCAGACGGTGGGATTGGTCAAATGCTTCTGGATACATGCACATGTGCTTCTGCTGGGGCATCAGGGTGGGAGGGCACTCAGAGCACAGCAGTACACCCACGGGCTCACTTGATTTCCCCAGTGAAGGGTTCAAAGGTCAGAGGTTGCCCTTTGCTTCCCCTGCTGCACCTACTGCGTGATCCCACATCCACCAGGGGCACACTTTTCAAACACAGAACTACTTTGTGGTCACAATGCCCCAGATGATAAGAGCAGAGGTGCTTTTTCTGTGGTGATTGGGCTGTGTCCTGCAGAAGTACCTGCGACCTCCAAGCCAGATCAGGTTTGGAATGAAGAGCACGGGGTCCTAGCTCAGCACTAGGAGCCAGAAGTGGATGCAAGGCTTGCTGGATTCAGGGCCATTCTGCTCCTTTCCCTGGTCCCCTGCTTTGCCACTGGCCTCTTAAAAAACCCTGAGACCTTGGCAGCCACACAGGCTGTGTGCGAAAGGAGGGAATGTGAATTTCCCCAGCTGCAGCCTTGAAGACCGCTGCCAGCCCGGGGGCACAGCCACTGCTCTGACTTGGAGACCTCATGATCTGCGCTGTTCAAGGCATCAAATGCTTGAAGAAACTTGCCCTGCTCAGAAGGCCACGCTCGAGCTGTATTTCTGTGCTGTCTTTTGTGCCAGGCTGGGACTGACTTTGAGGAGGTCAGGAAGAGCCTGATGACTCAATAAATAAGAAACACTTGGGAGAGTGAGCAGAACTGACAGCTCAACAAGATCCATGTTTAGCTGTCAAAACATTCCTCCATGTAGAGAGACGCAGCGAAGAAAGCTATCCACATAGCTCCCGGGCTAGAGACGAACTTATCCCGCTAATTGGCCAAGCAGTGCTTCGTGCAGGACGGGGCGCACTGGAGGAGGCGGTGGCATGTGCAATTAGGGCTGAGGAGGCCGAGGGCTGTGGCAGGACACAGCGTCGTGCCTGGGCCACTTTGATGTATTTAAAAGCTCGCTTTGTCCACAAAATGTGTTCGTGTCCTGTTCAACCACAACAACAGCAGCAGCCCCCTTCTGTTTTTTAATGATTAAGCAGCTCGCAGGTTGACTGAGCAAAGGCTGAAGGGGAAGAACAAAGAGATAAATATAATTCTGCTTGCAGAATTTATTTGTAGAGGATGGGCTAGACTTTCAGACGGTGCAAATCAGTCGCTCGAGGGAACTCGCTGATTTACACAGCAGCAGAGGGTCTAGCTCAGTGTGCCAAAGTGAGCAAGTACTCAGGTGTACATGGGCTGGTCGAGAGGCACTATTTGAGTCAACGAGGTCAACGCAGGGAGAAAACCGGCTCCCAGTCTGCCAGACCAAAAGCAAGCACTGCAGACTTAGACCCCACTCTCTCTGGGGATATGGGTTATTGAAACCTGCTTCCTTGCAGGTGACACTCTAGGGCTTACTTAGCTAAAGTCCCTTTTGCTAACTGTGGTGCCCCTCTCAGTCTGGCTTTCATAAACTACCACTACCACTTCTCAGATTAGACCAACCTGGTCTTCAGGGCTTCTTCTCTCCTTGCTCCATTTGAGGAGCCAGTTGCCCTTTGGAGCAGACCTCACACCAAGCAGGCCTCCTCCACCTTCCTTCTCACCTACCTTCATTTTTCCAAGGGTAGCATATTAAAAAAAAAAAAAAAAAAAAAAAAAAAGATTTCAAAAGCTTTTCTATAAAAATGCTGTGAACCTCAAACTCTACACAACTACGTAATCTGCTGTCTATGCTTCCTGCCCCTCCTGCCCCTCCGCATTTGTGTTACACTATTAATCAGGGGACTCACGTCCCCTCCTTGTGCTGGACACGTATTTGACAATCACCCTGGCATTTTGAGGGGGTTTGCAGTGTGGAGGAGGAGAAACAGCGAGGACAGCAGAGTGCTGGAAGACATTGCCTGGGGAGAAGCTGTAATTTCCATCACAGAGGCTTTTCTGAGTAGGAACAAATATTTCTGAAGAATGGCTTAGGCAGAGTTGATCCTGTCTCTGAGCAGCAGACAGATCTTCGAGTGAGTTCCAGCCTTATTGTTTATGCTTCTGTGATTGTGATAACGGTTGTGACAGATTCTGCAACGGAGCTGAGCAAAGCCAGCTGAAGGCCCTATGGATCATCTTCAGGGCTGAGGCTGCTTACAGGAAGGGAAGCTCATGTGTGAAGTTGCTTTATGGTTTTGTTCCAGACTCTAAATCAAAGAAACTTTGCTCAGACGTGGTATGACAAAGAAGCTGGGTCCTAAGCAGGCACAGTGACTGCCCTTTTTTTACTGTCTCCAAAACATTGTGTCTCCAGCTTAGACTTCTGGTACATAAGGTTGCTGAAATTCAGAAGACCCACTGCATGGGCTGTAAATACTTCGTTAGACAAATGGAGGCTTTGTCTTGCCCAGGTTCCTGGGAATGCTCACCTGGCACTCGGTGCTGAATCCCCACTAAAGCCTCTCAGGGTGCAGTGAGCCTGGACAGGAAGCATGCAGTAAATGAGCACGAGTGCCCCAGACAGCAAAACACTCCACGTGCCTCTCGTGCAAAGGCCCTCGTGTGTCTGCAGCAGCTGGCAGGAAACGAGTTACTCCAGAAACATCCATGCGAGCCCATCCCTGCGATGCCACCTTACGGGGAAGAGGAACGGCAGGGGAGCTGTCTCATCTACTCATCACAACATCTTTAAGCCACAAGATGGTATTTACTAGCCAGCACCAGACAACATTCAAGCAAGAACAGCAAGTCACTTTTTCCCAGCCCTCCCCGTGAATTGCTCCCATCTGTGCAAGAGAGCAATCCAAAAGCCCTTATGCCCATGACAGCGCTGCAATCACACGCTTCGGTTTCTAAACCCAAAATAGCGCGAGCCAGACCCCGGCGAGGCTGGTACATCGCATGCAGCTGCGCTGATAAAGAGGAGACATCGCGAGCGGCTCTCGGGGCCGCGGGTTGCTAGGGAACGTGGCGAAGCCCCGGCAGATTTCGCCGCCACTCGCTGGCTCCTTCCCCTCTTCCCACCTCGCTCGCTCTGCGCCAGCTTCTTCGCCCCGCGAGCGCCGTTCCTCCCGGCTGGAGCGCGCACAAACAAATCTGCCGGCAACAACGGAGCGCGATTGCTCGGCGAGTGGCTCCCCGGAAAGAAAGCTCGCTGGCCTTTCGCTTTCAAAGGCAGCCAGATGATGGTATGGGAAGAAACACTCTCACCATTTTCTCTCCGTCGCGTTGTTTCGTTCAACTTGTGCCACGAGGAAGGGTGGGTGGCGAGGCCGGGTGGTGCAAGCAGTGGGCTGACTTCGTGGGAGCTGTGTTGGCGTGGAGGCAGCAATACTGCATTGTGCCCTCCAGCCCCTTGCTGCTGCCCAAACCTTTGTGAAGCTGCTGCAGGAGCCAGCGCAGCTCCCACCACTGCACCTCGTTAGCAAGGGCATATGTGCAAGGGGTGTGCTGCTGGAGAGCAGGAAAGGAAAACCTCTGCCTTCCCCTAAAAGCCTTGCGGTGAGGAGAGACCGGTGACCAAGGTGGAAGCGAGAAGCTTTCCAGTATTAATCAATCTTTAAACAATTTGACTGAATGGTTAGGAAATGCAATGCTCCCTGCTGAGGCATTAGGGATTTATATTTACGTGTCGCTTATTTCTTTCCGCCCGGTGGTATTTTTAGCTCCCGTTTGATGTCAGGCCGGCGGTGGCTGCTGCCGGATCGATGAGGCTCTCCCACGATGGCAGCTGGGTGAGGGATGGCAGTCGGGAGTGGGATTCTTCTGGCCCCGGGATGCTGCCTGTCCCTACACTGCACGCAAGGTGAAGCAGCGGCTGCTTCCCCAGCCTTACCTGCACAGCAAGGCTGCAGGCCTGGTCAAATGCCCTTCAGTACCAACGGGGACTTAATTAAACTCTGAAGGCAGCAGACATTAACAAGCCCATACACCTCCAAGAAATAACAAGAGAGAACAGATCTGGAACTGACTTAGATTGCTTCACAAACTTCTTTGTCCCACAAAGGAGGAAAACACGGTATATGTTTGAGGACCTATTAAACGCAGTTAATTCTGGAGAATGAGGAAGTAGCGTTTCATTTTCCTAGTAATAGCACAGCACGAGTCTTGTCTGTCCACACTGCTTGTACTCACCATGCCCTATAGGCAAGGGGAAACTCACATAATCTCCAGGGCAGACCAGATCTGTGGTTTCCACCTACTCTCGGCTCCTGTCTTTAAGAGGGACCATCACCGTGATGATGTACTGAACAAAATACGTGCAGCACAAAACATTAAAATACTAAACAGCGTGTCAAAAGCCTAACTTCTTCCCTGAGTCCAGGTGATTTGTAATTAGGCTGCTTAGAGATAGGAGGATTTGTGTTTCTTCTCAAAACCAGAGAATATTATGCAGTGTGACAGCGCACATTCTTCTTCCATGACAAACCAGGCAAGGGTGGTCAAGGTCTCATCCTGACCTTTGCCCAGCAGCAGCACGCCAACATGCAAATACCCTCCCCGGATTCGTGTTCTGCATCACGTGTTGAGCTCTACACAAACAAGGAGGATTCTCACTTTATGAGGGAATACAAAAAGTTGCGTGCAAGTGTATGTCAGTACGGCAGCATTCCTACAAAGAACTTGCCCGCACTGCTTCATCATCCTCCAGCAAGCCAGTGGCGTGGCCTTAAAAATGTGAGGCGGTGCCAGCATCTCCTTCCTGGTCTATTTGTGCTTAAAACACTAACCCACCTTCATTTCCCCTTTAGTCTACACTTCAAAAATGATATTCATCTGCAGAGACATGCTAGGTTGATACATGCCAGGCGCAATTTATTCCTCAGCTCAAGCCATATGGTTCTAATAATAGTGGCTAATAAAGGAAGAGTGTGTTTTCACCTGTAATTTTTCAAATCCCATCAAAAAGTGGTGCACCACAGAACGCTGCAGACTGCAGCACAGCACATGTGCTCAGTCACATTCTGCACTGCTCTGCACTTACTCTGCTAATGGCCCTTAATTAATATGCACAACCAACTCAGCATCAAGGGCAAAGAGAAAGCGGTGCAGCTTTGTGTTTGCAGAAATTGTACCTTAAATTAAAACAAACAAACAAAGCAACTGCAAGTTTATTAAAAGTGATTTTTGGGATCTGAGCCCTGTAGCAGACTTTGGAAATAACCAGCAACAAAAGACATCAAGTTATCTAATGGGTTTTTGGCAATCGTTTTGCTTGAGAAATAAATTTGCCGGTAGTACGGAGACAAACGTTCAAGGCCAACCTTGACATCTTGGTCTTGGCATGTCTCAGTAACCTCTGTAGTTAAAAACATCCAGTGGGCACTTCCAGGAAAGAGAGCCAGTAGATTTCTCACAGAGGAAAATCGGCAAGTAGCAACCATAGCTAACTCAATAAAGCTTAATGGAAAGGAAGCAAGAGATATGGTTGGTATTAACACCCTGATCAAGAGCTAGGGGATTTCCACCTGATTTACTGTGGAAAAAAGTATCATTCACAAAGTCATCCACAGAGTACACACTACAACACAGCGTTTAATATAATAGCTTGGCATCATCTGACTCCAGATGAAAGGGTAGGAGGATATATTTACACTGCACATGACTCCAGCCTCCAAGAATGCCCCTCAAGGCAGCAGCAGTGTGGTCTTTTACCCAATGACACCCTTATCCTGCCACAACTGCTGCGCTCATCAGCCCAGAAGCTTGCAGGGGGGAGGTTGGGGTCTGGTGAGCAATCCAGCACGCTGTGCTCCGCCACTGGGGCACTTGTCCTCCAGCTGCCTCCCAAAACTCCCTGAACGAGCCTTAGGGCCAAACAAAACCTTCCAAGGGGCCTTTTTAGCTGTGGAAGAGAAAACCAGCAAGTCACGGAGAGGCTGAGCTGACAGCCCCACAACAAGCTGGGGAAGATGAGTGCCCTTGGAGATCCCAACACCACGCACGTGGCCAGGGAGGATGCAAGCACTCAGGTTTCACAGTTCACCTCTGGGCTGAGCTAAAACCATGCTCCTCTGAACCAGACAAACCCAACAGTCAAGGCGGACTTTCTTCAAAGGACTGCGGTGAAGCACAAGGCCACCTCAACAGGATGCTTTTCAAGTAAAAGCTGAGCCATCAACCTTTCATGCCTCAGCACAAAGAGGGGTTTGTTTAGGGTAACTCCAGGATGCAAATCTCCACTGAGGTCCATGTCGTGAGTCCAACCTGAATGTACAAACCCACCTGATGAGACAACTGCTTTCTCAGGGGATGCAGAATACATAGGATCAGACTCAAATCTCATTAGATACATGTTTCATTGCTCAGGGTGTCACAAACGTCAACGCTGCACCTAAAAATTAATCCCCTCCTTACTGCCACGCTTGGTGTTTAACCAATTTAGGAGTTGAAATCTATTTTTTTTCACCACATGGGTGAGGAGGCCAAAAGATAGTGGGAAGGGAAAGAATCAGACGACCATCTGCATTCTCAAGCCTGAACTGTAGATTTTTTCCTATCATTTTGTGGGTCCAGATAATTACTATGCTTACATATTGCTTTCAATTCAGAAAAGTTCCCCTCTACAGTAGGGAGAAAGTGCACAGAAAGTGAATACCAGAAGCTTACATTCCTCACTTAGGGGTCTTATCTCCTGATATACAAGACCCCTGCTGAAATGCATCCAACTGAGGATGCTTCTTGTTGATATCACAGAAAGAATTATCATTAAAAAGAAAGCCTTCTGGACAGGAACAACGAAACCAAGCAATAATGTAAAATAAATAAATAAATAAATCACATTCCCAATAATCAGAGCAGCTCATTTCAAACTATGTATTTTTAGTCCAAGATCTATTTTTCTCCTGTTGGCAGCTTTTGGATTTTCAGAGCAGATTCCCACCAACACCTGCTCGCTCTGCTCAGTGAGTACTAGTGAAGCACGCTAGTACTAGCTCTAGTACAACAACGAGCTGACGCGCAGTTCACGGCTGCCTCCACTTTGCATCCCATGCACTTTCCCAAAGCTAGCTGCTGTGTTTTCAGCGACCTGAGAACAAATACTTGTTCCCTTCGTAATTAGATTCACAGTAAATGCGGGAAGCGAAGCAAAAAGAACACAATGTTCAGAGCTGCCACTCATGGTTAAATAATTAGTCAATATTACGCTCAAATGCTGCCTCCAGTGTTCATGCCAATCTGTACGAGGAGGCATTTGTCCTTACATTACTTTGGCGCCTCGTTTCAGTAATTTCTATAAGCTGGCAGCCTGGCCTCTGCAGAGAATGGGTCACACCACTGCTAATTCAGATAGATTACTAAATACAAGCAAAAACAGAGAGGGATTAAAGGTGGTGAGATGTTAACAAAGCTTTGGGAAGTAATATATGTAAGAAATCCTTTCACCTGATTTTTATAAAGAAGGCCTCGCCTAAAAACAAGGGGGTTAATTAGTTTATAATTAATGCACAGCCATAATCCTATTTGGTCTACGTGTCTGTTATTGTTTTCTTACACACACACAACCCCTATCAGTCCCCAGCGGGAAGGATTCTGTTGCTTGGCCACCCTACATAGGAGTCCACTCCTGTTTAACAGCCAGTAATACTGTGGGTCCTGGCAGGACCCTGAAACTCCTCCCCAGACTGGAAACAGCAGCTCACCGAGGTACTGCTTCATCTAGATATTCGTGTCACTTCTCCCAGGGCAACATTTATCATGGCTGTATTTTTCCCCAGCGCACTTGTGTGTGCTAGAAGGGTTTCTGACAAAAGGAGTCGTGATGGTTTCTGGCTGATGTAGAGCTGAGCTGGATTCCCTTGGAGCATCAGGTGATGCCTGAATTAACGCTGTTGCTTGTCTAAATAAACTAGCTTACAAAGAAAGTATGGAACATTTTATGAGCGATGGGTACAGACTGAGTCCTGGAACGTTTCTGCATCATCTGCGCAGCCTTTCTAAAACGCTTCTATGAAAGGAATGGAGACTACATCAATATTTACTTTAATCACTTAGCAGACGCATGGCTGCCTAGCTAATACGTGGTTAGGCGGTGGAAGTTTCACTTCCACCTCATGCCAGCCAACAGCAGGAGGACTACAGACATGAATGAACTTACCCTGTTGTAAAACAGAGGCAGGAAGAACAGCCAGCGCTGTCACACAGCACCCCACACAGCTCTGGGGACTGCAGAGCCCCTTCCTGGAGGCTGTCCACAAGGGACAACACGATGATCTTCAGAACAAATTGATTCCAATGCTTTTCACCAACCCCGAACTCAGTAAGGGTCAATAAGACAGCCAGGCACCACAGATGTGGCAACAAATGGTGCTCTGCAGCTTGAAAGAGCCTGGCCAAATACCAGTCCCTTCTTGTAAGGCTGCTTGGTCCTGGAAAGGAGCCACTTCTCCCTCATCTCTGCCTGGTGCAGAGGCTACTCAGGCCTGGGCTCCTGAGAGCATCACTGTTAAAACCAAGAGCATGTCTCACAGGCAGGTCCTGCAAACAAATCAGATTGGCAAAGTTCAACTGTAATTTATAGCACCTGTGGGATATGGGAACTAACGAGCACTGAGATTGTGTGCATGTGCTTGAAGATCCTGCAAAACCTTTTAGCAGGAGGAAGATGGGGGAGAAATACCAACAAGAGAACTCTGAAGTGATTCATTTTGTCTGAGTTTTACTATGCATGCCTGACAGCGACTTCATTAATCGCACAGCTCGTCTCTGAGTTGCCACCCTCCCCTGGCTGCTTCATCCATCCACGCAGCTTGCTGGGGGAAGAGGGAGTGAGACGGGATCCAAATTAGAAACTATTTATTATTGTTGAAGTAGAAAATTAATTGCTCTTCTTCTCCTTCTTCCCCCATTCTGAAACACCCCTCCTAGGGAAACTTGTGCCGAGAAGTCCTTGTGAACAAACACATGGAGAGTAACAGAACATGGTCCATATGTAGTAGCAACCAAAAATAAACCCAAGTCTGAAATGCGTACAGTCAAGTGGATTCATAATGTCTCTCTCTACGCCACAGTAACAGATGGTCAGTGAACTGTTACAAGACAGACCAAGACTAGTTAAACAGATGGGGAGTGTTATTTTTATACTGGTTTATAAGTGAATATTTAAATTTCCACTGGGTTATCTGAATTATCATCAGAGGAGAGCATTCCTGAAGTCCCCATCCAGCCAGAGCTACATCCTGGAGAGGCTTTTCCCCAGGGAAGCTGATGTGGTTTCTTCTTATGGCCCTTCACTGGTGCTGCTTTACCTGTGATGAAACTCTCCTGGATCTCAGCAAGGTCTGGCCCAACGCTGTGTGCCCCTGGCAGTGTTTCTGGTGCCTGACACAGCCCGGGGAGTTCGCTCTCCCATCCTGTCTCAGCCGCTCGGCAGAGCTCTGTCCAATGCTGAAAGAGCCGCTGCCGGTGGCTGCGTATGAGCTGCGGGGCTGCCCGGCCTCCTCTCCTTGTCTCTTCTCTCAACAGCTTTTGTCCCTTACATTAATTCACAAAGCAGGCTCTGAACAGCTGGAGCTTAGCTGAGGGGCAGAGTGGATGGTGGTGGCTAGCAAGAGCCATTACAGTGGGGTGGCATTTAAAGAAGACGTGCCTTTAAAGACTTGTCTGTGTTGAAGGAATGCATAAGAAAACCGTAGACACAGCAGACTTTTCTCCATTTGTGCAGTTTGCATTACTTTTTTTGCAAGCTTCTCATCTCCCGATAACACTGGTTGGGTTCACTTTCCCTTCTCAGGGTTTAAGCGCAACATCTGGTTTCACAAGAGGGCAGGACAGACTAAAAAATAAGTTGATTAGCACCTTGCAGCACTTTGAATCACATGAAAAAAAAACTAAACCAGCAGTTGATGAAGACACTGATACGTCGTGCTGCCAGATGTCTCAAAGGAACTTGGCTTTTTAAAAACCACTGAGCACCCTTTAACAACCAGAGTGGTTCAGTGTTTCAAGGTGAGCATAAAAGCACTAGAGAAATCCACATTCACTTAATTACAAGTGAGGAAAAATGAAAGTGAAGCAGAATACCTGGGATTTGTAGGCACCCACACACTGAAAAAATGAGTTGTCTGTCCACAACATGTCTGGCTGATACCGCCCTGCATCTTTTTAGCAAGTCCTCCTGGTAGCAGTTGGAGATTATATTCATTCCCCACTTTAAAAACCTTTTTTACAACCACACAGATGCACAAAGTCTTTATGTGTGATCTGACCCAGGCCTCCCTTCTCTGTGACTCCTGCAGCCAGCTGTGGTCACAATTGCTGGAATGGCACCTGGCTTTGAAATCCCACCACTGAAATCCCATTCTCACCTTCCAGAGTGACCATTATCCTCTCACTGTTTGAAATACTGCTGACTACTGGTATGAAGCTGCAGGGTTCTGCCTGCAAGCCTCAGAAGAGCTCCTGCTTGTACTTCTTTATAAAGGAGTTCCACTTCGTGGCTGCATTATCTGTCTAGATGCCATCACACAATAGAGCTAAAGAAAAATGAAACTCTCTTTGCAAGTATTTATTCCTAATTTACTAAGGGCTAGCAGGAACCAGTGACAAAACCCCCAAAAGTTCTCATTGAAACATTTCATTTACCTAACAGCTTGAAATCTCCAGGCTGAAGATTACGTGCGCACACAGGCTTGCGTGCTAAGTCTTCAATTAAAGAAAATAGAAAAGCCTTGCAGTTTAGCCACTGGGAGACTTTTAAGCATTCGCAGCCTCATCTCTTTGCACATGAAATGTTAATGGGGCAACCATGCACGGCTGGCTCCACAGATCCTGCTTCAGATAGCAGTGGTTTTTTTGTGATACCTATCGCTGGGCTTCAGAGGTGAGGGGGCCTGTCCTGCTTCATAGCTGATGACACCTTGTCAGCATGACACTTTCTCCACGTCAGTTCAGGAGTTCATTACATCTAGATAACACCCTTTTTGCTCTCTGGCTCATGTTTTTTAATGCCATGCACAAGGCGGTGATTCATCAGAGAAGATGGAGCGGTGCTCTGCAGCAGGCAGACAGCCTCCAGTTGATCTACTGCCCTGGTTGGAGTTCACCACAGGGCTTTTTATTTCATGTGTTTGTTTATTGCAGTTCCTGAAAGTCCGGTGCTGTTACAGAACAAGCTCATAACTGCACCTGACAGAGGGTCAGGGCTTGTCAGAATTGGTCTAATTTGTATGTTGTGTAAACAACATTAAGACTTTGGAAGTATAGTATTAAGCCTTCAGTTATTAAAATTATGTTTTAAAATATGCACGACTAGAGAGGTGTTTGCAGAACACGTTATTGTTAGCGTGGCTTGGAGCCAGCACAGACCTGCAGTCTGCTCTGTGCTGCTCCGTGTGCTGTTCCACACACAGGATAGGCTACTGGTGCTCTCTTAAGCCAAGTGTCATAGTTCACTGCACTCTGATGTGGAAATTAGTTTCCTGAGATCCTCTAGCAGTTACACAGAAAAGGCTTTATAGGTTTGCCTTGTAGCTTAAAGTAAACTCATCTGAGAAACTGGTGGTACTGAAAATGCTTGGAAGACCTGAGAAGGGCCTTAGGCCTGATACATGAGAGGTCAATCTCTGGTAATTCTTTGCATTAAACTTACATTACTTCTTGCACTTGGGTGTGCTTGCTATGTCCCATTTTCCCTCCATCAGCCTCAGTCCTGGTAACATACCTTTTCCATGCTCTGCTTTAGGTACCCACAGAAGAACAGTCGTTGGGAGAACAAGACCAAGATTTTCCAAGAATATAGTATACACATACACAATAAATATAGTATACAAACATACATATAGATATTTACAGACACACACACACATAACAGCATCTAAATTATGAAGCTGTGCAGTTCAGTGAAGCTTGCTGGAAATGCTGTGAGACCAGCATTTAGAAGATTGAGTCACTTGTCTTGGTGCTTCACACAGATGCAGGAAATTGTATCTTGGGACTTTGTTTCTGAACTCATCTCATATATACAAGAGCATCCAGCTACTGGAGCTGTGATCCTCTGAGACAGCAAGGCAAAAGGGAAAGTATGGCTCTGCACACTATATGAAGTGTACAGTTCTGTGCTGCTCATTTCTGGAATTAGTGCAGGCATGTTTTATTGGGGCTCTGGTCAAGTATGAGAATGCAATTTGCAGGAAGAATAAAAAATACAAGGATGCAAAAGGCCTTCGATCTAACTCAGTTTCACTTCAGAGGGAAAAAAAAAAGGTGCTTACTATATCACAGGTGAAATTTTGGCTCATTCAAAGTCAATGGGAGTTGAACCAAGACCAGGTTTTCAAACTGTAATTTCTCCTCAGAGGCTAGCACAGTCTGGTATTGGATTTATCCAATGGTCTGATTTTATCCCTGGATTGAGTGTTTTTGAGGGGAAAACAGAAGAATGAATGTTCCACTAAATGAGTATACAAAACACACAAAATAACTATTGTTAAGAGAAAAGATACTACCATTATGTTTTACCTTAGTTTGATTGATAAATATGCTCCCACAGAAGCTGTTTTCAGAAACAGCAGTCAGCTGAAACCTGGAGGGTGAGCAAATCCCTGCTTTTCAAGAAAAAGGGAATGACACCTCCAATAACTTCAGAAGCTAAAAACAGCAAAAAAACATTCTTCTCTGTTAAATAGAAGTTTATTCCTGAAGCATACTTTTTAGACAGTTTATTTTCAATCCAATTTGCAGTTTTATGAACCAAACTGGTGTTATGGTGGTTGCTAAAGCAGTTGTATTAGTTGTTACAATTATAATCTTCCTTCTTCCCAGAGCCATAAACCTTCCCACTTGTTGCATAATGGAGCAATTACTCCATAAACTCTGCTAGTCTGTTCGTTGACTGCAAAATAAATAAGCGCCAATGAGAGCCATTGGCCTGTACAAAAGATGAAAATGCAAACAGAAAGCAGGGAATTCACCAGATTTATGGAGGAGATTTTATTGGCCATTATCAAAACATCCACAAGATTCAAACTTTCCTCAGCATATAAAATTTGCAATTGTAAAACAACAATATCGCAATGGAACTTTCCACTGCAGGATGTGACGAGGGGGAGAGTGCTCCCAGAGCAAGAAACGCTGCTGTGCTCGGGGAGGTCGTGCTCACCCCCGTTCTTGTCCCCTGAGCCTTACTTCCCCTCCTCTAGCCCCCAGGGTTAAGAGCATCCCCTGGGTGTAAGTGCTGGCTGCCTTCAACACGGGCTGGGAAATGCTCAGTCTCTACTGGGGATGCGAAGGGAAGCTCTTGCTCTGACTAGGAAGGAGGAATATGGACAAAATGCCAGCAAGTTGCTTTTTATCTTCAATTTCTTGGACTGCTGCACACTATCAAAAGTCTTTTGCTTCCTCAAACCCTGCAGTTCCTCTTCAGCTGAGCTGTGAAGTTGTTTCATCAACAAACTCAATATAAACTCTCAATGACAAGCCTGGAAGATTTATGATTTTTGTCATCTTTAAATAGCCATCATAAAAAAATACTGAAG